CAACACGTTTCCCAACACGTTTTTACCCATCCACGCCCCGTCATGGGCCACCCGCTCTACACTCCCACCGCACACAACTGAGCCACCCGAATTATCGATCAGGCGAACCCTGCAGACCTCCTTGTTTATGGAGGACAAGCTGCACAAGGTTCTGTTGGGAGTGGAGAAAGCCCCTTCGGATCCCGGACCTAGTGCTACGCCGGACCAGACTTCGGCATACCAATCTGCCCTGGAAGGATACCAGGACAATAACGGACAGATCTTTAAATGGCTGATGCTCGCCACATCTGAAACCGGGGGCTACCAGAGCGCGGCCTCGCAGACCGTGCAGGCATACGCGCCTATCGGGTCGTCCTACAACGGAGACGGTCGTGGAGCCTTCCTCGCCGTGGAAGTACCAGGCCGCTGGGGTATACCGTACGCAGGAGCTGCACGAGAAGTTCATATCTTTGGCAGATACTGCGCACCACGACTTTGACCTGGCCAATGTTATTCAAGACATGCGCCGGATCTGCACGGAGCTCGCCGTGTATAACGACACTGTGGCTGACCACCGAAAGACGTTCGCTTTCCTAAAAGCACTGCCGGACGACCACTACAAAGAGTTCAAGACAGGACTACTGTGCGACCAAGCTGCTGGGAGCGTCTTGTCCTTCGAGGAGGTCGCCGACCGAGCCACTTCGTTCCACGCGATGCACATTCGTGGTAAAATTGCGTCGAAGAACGCGTCCGGCAGCAGCAGCCGTGCGCTGAATACCGTCACACACGGCGAGCGCGTTCTTTCTGTAAGGGCGGCGGTCATCATCGTCGTGGACGCGCGCAGCGCGGTGGACGAGGACGTGGCAGCTGGAACAACTCGTCGAACCGTAACAACGGGTCCACGAGGGGGAACAACAGCAACGACCAGAACCATGGCGGCGCGACTTCTGGCGACGGAGCTGGTGCGTCTTCCGACAACCGGTCCTCTGGACGGCCGAACCACACGCAGCAAAAACGCGGGTACGACAGGGACGGCCGATGCAGTTACTGTCACACTTCTACGGAACACACCTGGACGACCTGCCCGCTTCGCCTCCAATGCCACGCGGTTTTCGAACCGTGAACAACAGCAACCGCGGCAGCAGGTCAACACGACCGCGGAAGCCACGACATAGGCGTGGCTCACGCACGCACGCGAGGTAGACCTCCCGCTGGAATCATTCGACATCGCCATAGGCGATCCCGAGCAGGTACCGTTTGCGCCTGCTGCATCGACCCCTGAGGAGGCGTTCGATGCAAATGTCGGGCAGGTGCTGGCTGCGCCTGCCACAGCTTCGCTACAATTGTT